CATCCATCCATCCATCCATCCATCCATCCATCCATCCATCCATCCATCCATCCATGATCTCACGATCTGACCGTTTGAATTGACCACATCACAAAAGGCAGGAAACCACGTACACAGGAGAGGGTACTCACAAAAGAACTAAAAAAACAAACAAAACAAAAGTAATTATTTCCCGTTCTAGACATGAGCTGAGTATTGTAGGCTATATCTCGCCAGATTGTCAACTCTGTGAACATTAATTATCCCCATCTTTTCGATGTACAAGTTGCTGCTGTTCGTCCCTGTTGTACTTTAACTGTCTGTCGACATGTAGGATAGGGTAACTGTAAACACAATCTCAGACACGCCAACTTAACAACGTTCCGTGGATTTAATAAATGAAAATCAAGTTCCTGACAAATGACACGAGCTTTATTTTCAGGATCAATCCACACTGTTTGACCGCCCGCTATAATGAGGATTACATTACATGTTTCCAGGGGGAAAAGGAGAAAGGCCGGGGGGGGGTGTGTGTATGTGTGTGTTGTGGGGGGGGGAGTGTAGTTGTTAAAAAAGATAAACGAGTTCAAGAGACTGAGATACCGAGGTTATTGCTCGTTATTAGTGTGGCTTGGCCTCATCATTAACGTACTAGATTTTGTTGTTGAGGATATCTGGATAGATAGGTAGACAGACAGACAGAAAGACAGACAGATAGAGATAGATAGATCGATAGACAGATAGATAGATAGATAGAGCGATGGATGGGTAGATGGATTGATGGATGGATGGATGGATGGATGGATGGATGGATGGATGGATGGATGGATGGATGGATGGATGGATAGATAGATACATAGATACATAGATAGATAGATCAAACAAATAGACAGATGGAGAAAGAAAATAATCAGAGGGTGAAGTTGAAGGGGTGGGGGTTGGGAGAGGGCGGTTCAGGTAATAAACCAATGTCTAATATTTCCACGTGATATTTCCCAACATTCTGCCTTATTATTGAACGATAGGCTAAAATAAGAAATCTCCATTCGACATCTCAGATCTAAAAGGTTTTCAAATAAAAAGTTGATTTTCTTGTATTTAGAACATCTCATTCCTCAGAAACCCTTTTGTTAAATTTTTCTTTCCACTGAAAAACTACATTTAATTTTCATTGTGTTATTGTGAACAGTATGTGAACGTTCATAATTTACAAATTGGCCCGCCGAGCCAAATGTCTGTCATTTTCACTTCTGGGCGGGGACTGACGACAAGCGACGTCACGAGATTGAAGGTCCAGGGAATGATGACGTCTGCGTTGCCTCAAGTTTGTCCAGAAAGAAATCCTTTGTAAAATAATGACTTCTTTTGTTGTTTCAAAGTTCTTTTTCCACTTTTACCTAAATGTTAAATTAAATCGTAAGTTAATAATGAACAAGAAAGCAGTACAGCTTTCTGGAATATTGGTATGACTTTTGTTTGACTTTCCTTTCAACGTGTGTGTTTAGGAAGTAGGTTTTTTAAATGTCTTTTGTTCATCTTCTGGAAGACCGATTCAAATGCTTGAAAAGATATGGACACATTAAAAAACTGATGCTAAAGAATATTTCATTGTGTATTTGGAGCTTCACTTTCAGTTTTCTGTTTTTGTAGGAGTTTTACGGCACTTACAAAAAAATAAGGTCAAAGAAGTGCCGAAGATTAGAGGTATAACAAGCACCGACAAAGAAGGAGGAGAGAATAAAATAAGGACGATAGATGTTTGATAGGAAAGAAGGAGCAAACTGCTTTGGACCAACAACCCACGAACTTCATATACGTTGAAAATGATACTTACTGACATTGCAACTCTCTCCGTAAAAGGGTAGGGAAAGGACATTACTTGGTTTCAAATGATGCAACTAAGCTGTACCAAAAAATTAAGGTTATTTTTGTAAAGGCTTGAGGTACATAACTCATGCTATTTTCTCAGTAAGTACATGTGTTTATTCAAGAAGTAGATCCTTTCCTCATAACGTTGACTTGAGTACTTCTCACTAATGAAGTAGTTCAACTTGAAAGATTGGATCTTTTCAAAATATGAGGGAGGGGCGAAAGCGTAGGCAAAAAGCTGATGAAAAACGATACTTTGAAGCAAGGTTGCAAACTGAACGTCGTTAGTGCGTTTATTTTTCCTCTCCGTCTCTTCAAGTTACAGTCTAATGATATTGAATTTCACACACAGCACAGCGCCTCAGGCGGACGCAGCCATTTTTTTCTATTTCCATATATTGGGGATTCCCCAGGGAAATTTCTTCCCATTTCTCGTCGTCCTTCGTTGTGGGGGTCTACGGGTGTTTTATTGTTCATTGGCGTTTTTATGATCCGCACTGCCTTCTTGATCAATCATCTGGCTCTCTGTTGCTGATGTTGTAAAAGTGGGTGGT